ACCTTAAGGCTATTTTTGTTCCGTTAATTTGGAATATCCCGACCACATATATAATACCGACTTATGACTACCTCTCTACGTGGCGATCACTATCACTCTCACATATGTGAATTTATCTTGATGTATGATGATTTTTTGTGTGTAAGGGGTGTACAGGATGCACCTCGTGAGTTTTTGCGAATGTAAAATGTGTAAGTTGTTTACTCTTTGGTATACTCGCGTAATCTGCCTACGGACAGACAATAAGCTCGAGTATAAGGAGGAGGAGTGCAGTTCGTTTGATGAAAATGTGTGAGAATCCCAAGGGATTTATGAGTCTTCTGAGACTCAAATGCTTGTCCACGCCGAATGTTATTCGTTGAGTTGAGACGAGGACCCACAAGTTGGTCTCTTGACAGTAATGAGTGTTTATGGATGACTCTCCTCCATGTGAGAGATGGTTGTAAGAATCTATGATTGATTACCCTCCATGGGGAAGGTGGTGGTGAGATTTTATAAGTGAGTCCTCTTCAAAAGTGGAAGGTGGTTAAATGATTGAAATGGCATGGAAAGCGGTTTGAATGATAAAGTCTAACGAGAAAGACCAAGAGAAATTATTATTGGTGGAATTTTGGAAGGTCGCAAATTGGTGAAATTTTGAGAGGTGTCTTTAAGATGTGTGGTCTGCCTTACTTTGATCAAGTGGGGGGCCACGGCCCTGTGAATTTGGCGGTGATTTTTTTTGTGTGGATTTTGGAGAGTACGCAATGCTCTCTATGTTGTTCTATAGAGAGCCCGTAAATGCCTCTGAGACTTTGAGTGGAACAGACCTCTGCGTAGTCCCGCAGCCGGCCTGAGGTTATTGCGACACACCGGCCAGTCACTATGATGTTAATCTTAAGACATATATGAGAGACCCAGCTAGGGGTTAATCTGGCATCACTAGGGCGCAACCCTTAGTGTTGGCTGCTGACCGGCGCAACCTGGCAGCGGGCTCACATCTCACCAAAGGGTAAGGCTTGAGGGGTGTGGCCGCCTCAGAGAGTCTTATTCCCGCGGGATGTTGGAGGGATAAGAGTCGAGTCGTATTTTTTTGTGAGTCCTGATAGTATGATTTATCAGGAGAATCGTCCATCGTTGCGCAACCAACGAGGGTACTGTTGCTAAAATAACAACGCGACGGGCCGTAGATCTGACTCGATCAACCAGGCTATGGTGGGCCAAGATGGAGACCTGACTCTACTGTACTAGACTGCAGGAGAGATCTGTGATAAAAGTTATATATATTTTTTTGAATATTGTGTGATAAAGGCGAGAGAGCCTTATAAAGGTCTCGGTTAGGGCCCCCGTCCTAAGTTATGACCCTGCATGCAGGACGATGACTAAACATGACACCCAATGATGAACCGACAGATGTCTAGGACGAAGGGAGAGGATTACCAGCAGTTACCAGGTTGAAACCCTGACAACGGCGAGATATACTGGGTACTGTCTGTGAAACACTCGAACGGAGTCAGTCGGCCAATCGGATTGGTTCTTTTCTCGTCAGCATTTTGAGATATGAAGGTTTTGATAACTTTTAATTATTCGCGGCGACGAGGACGTCGCTTAATAAGGTCCGGTAAGCTGTTCGCACGAATACCCTTACAAGGGTATCCGCCCGGGGTTTTGTAAGTGACAGGAAATAAGTTTTGTTCGAAAATTGAGTACACGTGCGAAGTTGCGGTTGTTTTTGGTTCGCACTGACTGGAGGGTTGACTAGGAGCAAAGTGTGTGTGGACGCGCAGTTCTAAGGCGCGCGTGATGATTTTTTCTCTTGATGCTATAGAGTCGGCATGTCCGCCGACAATATTTTGGGGCTTTGAGTAAAGCTAGGAAAAGTTTCTTCTATTGAGTTGACCATGGTGCACCTGCGTTCATACGACATGCGCCATCGGAAGTAGATTTGCTAGGTGGCGGCACACTTGTGCTGCATGTGTGACGACAGCCAAAGGGAGAAATTTACCCCTTCATACAGCAAGGGCCGACGCATAGGAACCATAGGCGCAAGCAGTGACCTCCGCGCTACACTATGTAGGCTACGAGCGTGACATGCCGAGAAAAATCCAGGCCCTAACCGCATGTGCGTGCGTACAGGGCCGTGGGGTTGATGGGAAATCAAGCGGCAGCCTTAATGCTGTTGCCGCAGGCCCAGGGCTAGCCACAATTACCATTCACATACTAGGCTGCGCACAGCCTGTCCTGGTTTGGGCTTAGCCCTAGTGGTTATAGTGTTAGACTTCTACCAGGCGGATCCCGGGATCGAGGCCAACAGCTAGCAGCGGAGGAGCGCGTCGGAGTGAGCCGAGGGGTTGAGGGTCCCGTGGGACTATTCCCCTTGGCTTTTTGCGGGGGGTTCCGACCGCGGGCCCGTAGGAAAGGACCAAGTACCGGAGGTCCTCTCACACATCCATTTTTCTTTATGTTTATCTCTGAGTTTTAAATTTTTTATATTTTTCATTTTTATTTTTATTTTTATTTCTTCTATCCAGACGAGACCCGGTACCGGTGTCGGGACCTGCAATGAGACCCAGCTGCCTAGTTATGTGGATACACCACGAACGGGCGGGGCACTGCTATCAGGGAACAGTCCTTCGGGACATCCGTTAAAATTGGAACGATATGGAGAAGATTAGCACCCATTAAAATTGGAACGATACAGAGAAGATTAGAATGGTCACTGCGTGAGGACGGCACGTATAAAGTCGGAGAGTAGCCCGCCACCTTAGCTGTTGTGGCATGCGGTGGGCTGCCGATTGTTGGGCAGCCTCTCGACCGAGCCAATTACTGGACGCCGCGCTGTAGAGGCAGGGGGAGGATGAGCAAAGGGGAGAATGAATCAAGGCAGGGGCGTGCATCGGGTACATCCAGAGAGAGGGAAGGCGGAGGGGTACGAGAATTGAGTTATGGCTAGGATATAAGCTACATGTCCCGGCCGTTCTGTAACGAACACGAGAGGGGAGTCAGAGATGGCGGAGCTAGCAATAACCGAGTAGCAGGAGCAGGGCACAGCCCGGGGATGTATCAATGGCTACCTAGGCTCCATCGTGAGAGATTAGAGTTTGAGCGTGGTCGTAGGAGTCTGGGAGGTGGTGCGCCTTAGGCCTGAAGGTTGAGTAAGGAGGGGCAGCGGAGTGACGAACGGCAGGGAGAGCGGGCAGAACGAGGTGCCTGAATCTGGACTTTAAACCGCGCCAGGTACGCAAAGAGCAGAGCGGGAGATGGCAGCGGTAAGAGAGACAACCAGGGCGCAGTTGAGAAAGTCGGGCACTCTCGATCCTAAGTGGAAGCGAGAGGGGGAAGACGCTATCCTGGGGGTTTTGCCCCGAGCGAAACAGATGTTGTAGTTAGTTTTGGAGCTAGGTGATTAGATTAGGAGGTTAGTAGGAGAAGGATTGCGCGAAGCCATGGAGGACGGGTGGAAGAAGGAGAAGGGAAAATATCGAATTCGGGCGCTTCTTGGCCGATCACGAAAGGCGAAGATGCTCCTTTGAGGTGTTGGAACAGGGCGAATGTGGAGGAGAAGACGGAACAACGAATGATGGAGCGTAGTGGGAGATAGGAAAAAAGGGGCGGCCGTGCATAAGACTGTCGGGAAGGAAGGAAGAAAGGTTGAACGAACCTGTCGTGGGTTCACGACCAGGTGCATTCGGAGATAGAGCCGAGTGTGTCTCTGAGCAAAAAAAATGGGAAAAATCCTTATCCCGCTCGTTTCTTGATCAAAAAGAGCGGGGGAAGGTGGCAGATGGGAGTTTTTGCCCGGGGCGAATCTAACTATGATGTCAGATTGGGCAAGAAGTTAGTAGATCAGGGTTGTACTAAGAAAACGAGTGCGCTGAGATATGGTGAAAGGAGGAAGAAGAGAGTGGGGGTCAAAAGTTAGTATCTTGCTCATTCCCTTAAGGAATCGAGCGAGGAAAGATTCGAGGTAGGGGTTTGTGGGCCGGGCGAGCGCGGATATGGAGTTAGTTTGGCTGATTAGTTAGTAGGATGTGAGGTTATTGCAAAAGGGAGTGCGCGAAGGTGTCGGGGAAGAAGGTGAGATGGAAGGAGGAAGTAAAGTTTGGCTACTTCGGTCGTTTCCTGACCATTTTGAGTGAACTAAGATTTCAAACTGGGATTCTAGGCTATAGCGAGCCCGAATATGAGGTCGGATCGATACTAAGGTTAGTAGGATTAGAGTTAGTGGAGGATGAGACTGCGTGGAAGTGCCAACTCGGCATGGCAGGAGTAAGGAGACAGACATCCGAGTCGATCCTCAGTATGGGAAGAAACCAGTTTGAGGTTTCAGACCATTGCAAATCCGATGATGGTATCGGATTCCACGACAAAAAAAAAAAAAAAAAAAAGCAGACTCGACGAGGCAG